CGGGTGGGGTGAAACATTAGGCTTGTTTCCTTGCTCCACAACTCTCTGTAGGAGGAATCCGATTGTTGGTCAATTGGCGGATCACTTTCCGGAAGTAATAATCCCTTCAAAACGAAAATAAATTTAAAAAAATAATAATTTGGTCACTTAATCTGCAACTGCTCATGGGACACTGCTATGTGCAATTGGCTACCGTGTTTTGGCCTCAAAATATACAATCAATTCACTTTACATATTAAAGTATATTCTGTGAAACTCTTAGAGACTCTCAAAAGGCGTAATAAAGCACTATATCAAATACCAGGATTATTATTATTATCCTATCTTAAGACCGACCCCTTTGATTGCGCAGACAGCCACATATACCTTCTCAATTTGCTTGGCGTCCAAGTCCACCACTGTGCAGCACTCAGAGGCATTATCCTACATGAAGGGCATTGTATAAATGTAAGTTGTTGTTATGAGAGATTTAGGGTTTATCAGCAGTGACAGCAATGACCACCCTCTGGTGGTGACCACTGGCAGAACAGTATTTATTGTGCAAAGAGAAACTGGGACTGTTTACGCCAGAACAGAAAGCGAGGACCTGAAAGAGGTGGTCAACATTATAGGGAATATTTGATGAAGAAAACAGAGAGGAACAATTTTCACCAGTCAGTCTGTTAGTAACTAGACTAATAATAATTATTATTATAGACAGTATCACGCCTCATCACATCATCAATGTTCCCTACCTCAGATCTGGTATTCTTAAGGCTTTGGGATGCCCTCTTGATATGAAAGGCACTGGATAAATATACATTTCTAATTTGTATTGTTCAATTCTTCAATTGACACAATGCCTATTCGACAGCTCTCACCCTTTTCGTATACCCGCAATGTGTGTTTTGCACACCCTCGCAGAGTGCACTAGGTGGCCTCTGTGTTTGATCTCTCTCCATGAGTGCAAGTCCCTATGGTTAAGGTGTACTTCATAAATGAGCTACCATGACGACAGGTACTGCCAATTGCCATATATCTGTTATAGCGATTTCAGAAGCTTCCGTCAGCAATCTATCGCACTAGCAGACTGTGACGAAGGCTCAACCTGTTTATGTCTCCCCCTCCTTCCCGACTGATTACAGAGACTCGAGAAAGCACTTAAACACTTCCCGACAAATCGGATAGATACGACGCCAAGAAATAACAAATACTAAAATTACTATTAACTAATCATCAGCAAGCAGCAGCTCAACAATGAGTTAGTGAAAAGAATACTCGAAAAACTAATTGCTGACCTAGAGGACGATTCCTCAATAACAGTACCTTTGGTGTCATCAGGTAAACAGCGACCTCGAGCCCCATGTGCTCGCTCATTTTATTGGCATTGAGCCCCTTTCCTAACAAGGAATACACAATGACAATTTAGTTTACACCAATTACTTGATGTAATAGGTGTTTTTTTCAATCCACTGGGTACCAATGTATCATCAATTGTTGCAATTGAGACCGAGTCCGACATGTTGGCACCAAAAGTTTCATTCCTTAAATAAAAAGCATTTTGAAAGGAATTAAACTTATAATGCTGAGGATGCACTAGTTTGACCGAGATTTGGGCTTTTTGTTCGAGTTAATCAAGCTATTAACCCCATACATGCCGGCGATGCTCTCAATTCCTACTGAACACTGCAAAACACTCTTTAACTGAGGATTAATTGATTAAAAAACAGGGGGGAGCTTAACACCTGTAACTTGAAAATGTCTCAAAGCTTTTGAAAGTGATTTTTTTTGTGGGAAAACGCAGCAGCCAACAGCAGAGCCCCAACTCACAAACATCCAACAAGTGAATGATCAATTTTATCTGCAGGATTGTCGGTCAGGACACAAGGAGAGAGAAACTCCCTTCGCTTTTTCAACTGTTTGTCCCACAATTCTTAAATAGGAATCAACTACCAAATTAAGACTGAAATTAAGACTTTGCCACAATTAGGATTACATTTTACATTTTAGTACATAGTCTGGGTCAGATTTCAGTCCTCAATACACAGACTTCACCACAAGAAGGCGCTCACTACCCAACAAACCAACCTTCAACTCTCACAAGCACTTCACCTCGACTTGTTTCACTTCCTCTCCCCTCGTCCAGGATCCGTCTCAAGGTTTACCTCTTTGGCCACGACTTTGGTCATCTTTCCTCTTTCCCCCCCTGTCCCCACGCCCCACCTCAGGTGTCCAGCCCTGGAGTGAAGCGCTTTGGGGCATTCTCCTGACATGAAAGGCAGTGTTAACATAAGTGACATAAGTGTTAACTTTGTTGTGTTGTAATCCCACTTTAAATTTAAGATAGTCAAACCCGTTAAAGCAATCACCTCGATTCAGCAACTACTTCCTGTTAACAGCCATCCTGAAACAGCCTGACAGATTTTCCATAATAAACTGACCGCTCTTTGTTCATTTCGGAGGCCATTCTTTCTGAGAAACATAGTCAGAAAATAGTGAGCGCCCATCAGCAAATTTATTTATATAAGTTGTTGCTGAGAATCCCCCAGATTTGTTATAACAAATCAGTCACTAGACTTGACTCTTCAATAATAAATCAATAAGATTGTCACTTTGAGACTCAAATTCTCCAATATTCCAAAGCCTCCTCCCATCATCCCCCCACCTCCAGCTGTGGCAGAACTCGGCTGCTGAGTTACATTTGTGTTGGTACATTTGAATTACAAATTACATTTGTGTAGTGCCTTTCACGTCAGGAGGACGTCCCAAGGCATTGGACCTCAAGCCCATCTACTTCAAGATTCTCACTCTGACTTTTGCATAATCCTTACATTAGATTCAGAAGATTATATCAAAACCTCTCAGATCACTTCCCACAAACAGCCGTAAAGTTTTTTTTTAATTCTGGAGGGTTGGTGGCCCGGACACTCAGAGAAACTCCCTTCTCTTTTCCAATCGTGCCACACGATCTTTAATACCATCTGAACAAGCAGGGAGAGCCTGGCGGGATCTGACTGGAGTTTCAGCCTGGACTGTGAGTTCAAAGTCTCTGCGCTGAGGCTTGAAACCTTGACCTTCTGCCTCTGAAGTGAGAATGAAGCTAATTGAGCCAGTATGACATCTGTCCACTCCCTCCCCTCTGCATCTCAAGCCTCAATCCCACTGATTGCAGTGCTAGTGTCGAACTGTCAGTCACTCTGGCCTCGAATCCCTTTGCCTCACTGCCCCTCATCTTCAAAACCCTCCTGAACACCTGGCTCTGTGACTATGCTCACCTCCTCACCTTGTTTGATGCTTTACAATCGACATCAAGCTCTGTGTGAAGTGACTTCCTCTGAGAAGGTGAAAATATTGGAGTGAAACAATCGATGGGCAATTACAAGAAATATATATATTTAATATATTTAAATATTAAAAGCACAAAGTACATACAGTCAGGCCAAATAATGGGGGAAAGCTTGCAGCTTTACACAGCTCGTTCCTGGAGTTTGGGGGTTAGCAGTTGGGGGTCAGGGATAGAGATTTAGGTGTTTGGGGTCAGGGGTCACAGGGAATGAGGCTATGGGGTATGGAGATAATAATCCTACAATCTTGCATTTGATATAGCTTTTCATGTCTTCGAGACGTCTCAAAGCGTTTCACAGAATATTCTGTAAAGTGAATTGACTGCATATTTGTATGTGACACAGCAGCCAATTGCGCACAGCAGCAACCCACAACAATCATGGACCAAATTATTTTTTTCTTGAGGGTTTATTATCAGGCATGTGGAGTAAAGAAAGTTGTCCAAGGTTTCTCCCTGCTGGGAATCGAAGGCGAGTGCTCTAACCACTGAGCTACAGGCTCCAATGGTAGGGATAAAGGATTACAGGGATTTAGGATTCTAGTAATTGACGTTCTGGGCTAACAAGGATCTGGGTTTGGGTTTTCGGGTGACAAGGCTATGGTATTAGAGAATGCAGAATTAGGGTTTACAGGATCAGGGTGAGAGGGTTTAGGGTGTGAGAGTATATCATATGGGGTTAAGGGATGAGAGGGTTCAGTGAAGCCTCTGGTTCAACTTTTCTGTCAGTTTATTTTTAACCATTTAATTTCACCTGGTTTGAGGCTGTGCTGGGCTTGGGTTTGGTAGAGGAAAGGGTTACTGTTGCAGGAGGGATTGTAGGGTTAAGGCTGGAATTAGGGTTCAGGATGGGATTTATGGTTAAGGTTTCGGGTTTAAGCTTGTGGGATTTGGGTTATAAAACATTGTGAACTTTACTCTGGTAAAAGCTTTGTTGGAACAACTTGAGCAACACTAAAATGAAGTCCAAAGATTCAGAATTCCTCAAAGTCTCAGCCTTAAAGTTGTGTATTGGTTATGTGGAAATTTGGGAAGGTTCTTATTCCTGGTGATGATTTGGAAGCTATGTTAATTTGACGATTGAGTTTAAGAATTTTCCTAAGCTCTGCCCAGCCTTCAATGTTAGGATGATGGTTTTATCATTGGAATAAACAGAATGTAACAACAGATTCCCGAGTTCTATTCCCTCCCCAAATCCCACCTCCCCCGCTTTCTCACTAAATCCGATCGCATTTCCCTAACACAGAATCATAGAATTTGAATAATTTGTGCTTGATGTTTGCTCCCCCATCTTCCCTAAATCCACATGGCGTCTGGTAACTTGTGGCGCAACCAGAGGAAAAGGTCACTGATTGTTTCTTGTGAAAAGCTCCTTTCATGATCCTGGAAACTCTGATTAAACCCCTCAACCTCCACATCTCCAACCTGTCCAGAGCCAGCTGTAGTTTTGCCTCCACCCGGCCCCGCCCCTCCACCCCCCCACCCGGCACTGATTTCTTCTATGTCAGCTGAGTGTCTGATCGTGTTTAAGAGTCTCCAAACCCCAAATTTCTTTGTGTGCCTGCCATATATATAGTACGTCCTCTCTGTAATGAGACTTCCAAAATTGCCCTCTGAGTGTCTAGTGCATCCTTTAAGCATGTCGCTGCTTTGTGCTTCCAGCATCCCATCTGTTTACCAATTCCCATCTGTTTCCCAACGCCTCTCTGTAGTTGTGGACCTTTCAGTTATTTATTTCTCACCACTCCTTCAGCGACATGGAATTGTATCTGCCACCCTTCTGCCCACTCACCTTAAGACTAAGACTTTGAGGAATTTCTGACAGCTGGACAACCAGCTTGATTCAGTTTTTCCAGGTATCAAACAGCTGAAATGAGGGGCTGTAATGATATTTAGCACATAGACAGGTCTCCTGGGTTCCCTTCTCCCCCCCATTGGGCCGAATGCCGGGTTGGTGAATTCTGGGAGTGGGATAATAACCAGTCAAACCAGTGACTTCGCAGGACATGGCTGAGGCTGAAACTTGTGTTCAGGATAAACTGTCCTTCCCCCGAACTCAGTGACTTCCTTCCGCTCCTCTTCCTCTGCAATTGTTATCCTCAGGAATGACCCTTATTTCGTCGTAGATTGTAGTGAGACCGGCTCCTGGTGCCTGCTGCCAGCTGGTGTCCAGTTCACATAAGTGTCCTGCAGACTGGAAAATGTTGTGTAATGTACAGAGAGCTGTGTACTGTGGGGTGTACAGAGCTGTGTACTTTGGTGTACAGAGAGATGTGTGCTGTGGGGTAAGGCTCATAAGTTAGTCTGACAAGAGATAAATAATGTTGAATGTGGACAAATGCAGAGTGCGGTGATTGAGGGATGAGGATGAACATTGGTAATAGGAATAGAATCTACAGGCTGAGAGAGGAGATTGTGAGAACTGCTGACAGGTCACAGCAAGGTAATGACAGTCAGCAGCAGTGTGTTTTGTGTCACCAGAGGCAAAGATTACAGCACAGGAAGTGAGGCCAAACATGTACAGCACACAGGCCTGGCCTTGACAACATTGAGTTCTAGTAACACGGCTACAATAGAGACAGAAACATAGCAACACAGATATTCCCAGCACAGGAAGCATTCAGCCCATCGTGTGTGTGTGTGTGTGGATTTGTATGTGTATGGGTGGGTGTGCGGGTGTGTGTCTGTGTGGTGTCTGTGTATTTGTGTAACCACTGCTGCCTGTTTCCTAAATCGTCCTGTACTAATCTCACTTTACAGTTCTCTCCCCATATCCCCTCGTGTGTTCACCGGATCAGGGTTTAACCACTTCCCTGTTTGTATGATTCTATGAATGCAGCCTCAACAGCCGCTGTAACAATGATCTCCTCACCTAATGACATCGGAGTGAGAAGATTCCTTCTCTCCTCTGGTTCTTCAGCTCACATTCCTGAGCCTGGGCCCCTCATTACAAACTAACCGAGGGACGTTTACCTTATTTACCCTGTGGTGACCCAGAACATAGAAATGTTCAACCCAAGAGGAGGCCATTCAGCTTTCATCTGAGTGTTCGCTCCTCCAAGGACCATCCATCCCCAGACACTGATCATTTCCCCAGACACGGGCATGTGACTCTGTTTCAGATATTGATCTCATTCCTTCTCTAAAGCTAAAATAGATTCTGCCTCGATCAACACACCCCGTCAATCATTCCACATCCAAAAATTGTCTGCATTAAATATCCTCCTAATCTCCCCTTCTAACTATCTTCATGTGACACCCTCCAGTCATACATTCACTGACAATTTCAATATTGATCTCTGATCAAAAGTCTTCTGATGCTCTGCATCTCGGAAATCCACCACATTTCTCTCATCTGTGCTCTCACACTTCTCATGTCCTGTTCCCCCACCACCGCAATCACAGGTGGTCACAAGCTCTACAAGTAGCTGGACCTCAGGCAGGAGCCGGGCAGACAGCTCAGGGTGAGAGCGGGGAGTGTGTGGGCGGCCAGCCAGCAAGACTCGAGAGAAATCAAATGGGAGGAAGGGGGGGAGGCAACAACAACAACAACAACTAGCATTTATATAGTGCCCTCACACAGGAAGCATCCCAGAGACAGAGCTGATACCCACCTGCTCAGGAGACATGTGTCGGACAATATCTGCGTACACAATGCTGGCGCCCATCCCGGCTTTGCTCAGAGCTTGAAAGAGAGACAAGGTGATTGGAACCAAGTGAGGCTGCTCACCCACCCTAACCAACAAGCAGGGCAGGTGGCTGTGCTGAGCTCTAGCTACACATATGGTGACAATCCTACCCCCATCAAAGGGCTCACTGAGACCCTGTTGTTCCCATCAATACCAGCCTGAGGTCATTCACACCTGTACTCTCTCCAGAAGGTCAGAAGAAGAGGATTCTTCACCCATTCAGTCTCCTTCCCCAATCCCATCACCACCATCTACCTGTAACACCATTGAGAGAGTCTCAGGCTCTCGACCCTCCCTGGTAACTGGCTCCAGCTGCTGATTTCTCCTCTGTAAAGATACACTTCCTGGAGTCTGCCCAAAAGCTGCCCATCACCCTGATTCTGTGACCACCGATCTTGGTAAACTATACTTCTGTCTTCACTTTCTCAGTCCTATCGAGGGGCTGAAACACCTGTAATTACTGCTCTGTAGATTGAGATGGCTTTTTCGTATCTAGTCATTCTCCAGCCTAATTCTGTCTCTATTTACTGAGTCTCAGACTTATCCAGTCTCCTGTAAACAGAGACCGCAGCTGGACTCCAGGTGTTAGTGACCAGACCTGGACACAGTTACTCCTGGTGTTAGTGACTAGAGCTGTACTCACGAGTCTTGGCAATGTCCTAGAAGGTTGTTGAATAGGGAAGTGGATAAACACCTGAAATGTGAAATTTTACCTGGTCAGAATCTGTCTGAACATTTGGTCTGAACATTTAATATTACACTGACCTGGGGAAGATTCCGAAAATCAGTGGCAATGTGGAAGACGATTTTTTCTGAAGATCTTTAAACTGAGGCGTCTTCCCAATGGAGACTGAATTTCAGATACTCTAATCGCAGTCCCTGGTCACCTACTCTTTCTTTAAAAGCTTTTTGCCGGATTTGGAGCCAGTGAGAATCAAAGAGTGCTGATTATTATTACTATTATTAGTATTATTATTATTATATATCAGAGCAAGTTGTCCAGCTGGAGATTGTGATGAATAAGTCCCAGGGAGACCAAAAGAAGGGGAGATCTGTGACACACACACACACATGTGGGTGAGTGGCCTCTGTGCTGAACCATTCTATGTTTCTTTGCTTCTGTGTGTGGAATGACTGAGGTCCCACCACAGAGCAGTACCTGCCTTTATCAGCTCTCCTGTGCTTCATATAACAAATCATCAACGCTGCAACAAAAAGGAACACCGGGACGAGGATTAAAGCAAGATGAATCCTTGTATTTTTCTCTCCTAAAACAGAAGGTAAACACAGTCACTCAGCCAGTGAGTCCTACTTACTCCCTCCCCACCCCCACTCCACCACCGACCCCACCCACCCCCGTCGTCCCCACAGATACTATTTTAGTTCTGGGTTGTTATATCCGCTTTGTTGAACAGTCTATATCTCGTGTCTGATACAGATTCCCTTCAGTTACATTTTCTGAATGAGACGGAGAGGTGGAAAGCCTGAGACAGCAGCTTATTAAATCAGTGTCTGTCTGTACTGGACAGGGAGGGTCTGTCATAGAAACACAGTAAAGAGATTCCCATCACTGTAAATGCCCCTCATGTTCCCCTTGTGACCCTCCATTAAGACCACATCTAAGAGAGAGTGAGACCGAGGACTAACCTTTCATGGGACAGTGTGTGGCCAGGTCAATGCTCTCAGTCTCCTCACTGACTGGGTTCCTCACTGTACAGTTATACACTGTATTGATAGTGGGGAGATCCAAGGACAGGTGCAGCCTCCTCCCTCGGTGTGTCACTGGGTGTGAGGGGTTTCCGTCTCTCACAACCTCACCTCCTCCTGTCCCCCAGGTGTAAATCACCTCACTGCCCCTCTCCACTGAGCAGCTCAGGGTCACGTTACACAACCCAGTGGAGTTGGTACTGTTCACCTGGATTGTTGGCTGTGACACTCGCTCTGTATCAAGGACAGAAAGATAGAAATTACAGCAAAGACCATTATCTACACAATTTGGGATTGGTTCTATTGTGGATATGGAAACTGTGTGGATAAGTGGACGTCATGCAAGACACAAAGTAACTTTAAAGCTGAATTAAAAAGAATTTCATCAGATTTACTCTGACTGGAATATAGCACTGAATAACACTTCTCTCTCTGATCTTCTCTCTAACTGGGCGTCAGCTTGGCTCAGTTGGTAACACTCTCTGCCTCTTTGTCTCTTCTGCTCTCAGGCACACACACTTGTGGCAAAACGTTCCCTTCTCCAATAACTTTCTGAGTGAAATAATAACAATAATAATAATCCTTGCATTTGATATAGCGCTTTTCACGTCTTCTAGACATCTCAAAGCACTTCACAGAATAGACTGTAAAGTGAATTGACTGTATATTTGTGCTTGAAATGCGGCAGCCAATTGCACACAGCAGCGTCCCATAAACAGTCATGGATTGTTGTTCCTCAGCACTTACTGTTATTTTTGTTCTTCTCACTTTGAAGCTGTGACCTGCAGACAAACTTCCCAAATAATTATCTCTGTCCATCATTAACCCCTTACCCACTGTCTTGGTCCACTGTTAACCCCTTACCCCGTCTCTATCCATTGTTAACCCCTTACCCCGTCTATGTCCATTGTTAACCCTTTATCCCGTCTCTGTCCATTGTTAACCCCTTGCCCCGAGTCTGTCAATTAACCCCTTAGCCCCTGTCTCTGTCCATTGTTAACCCCTTACTCCCCGTCTCTGTCCATTGTTAACCTCTTACCCCCTGTCTTGGTCCATTGTTAACTCCTTACACTCTGTCTCTGTCCATTGTTAACCCCTTAACTCTTGTCTATGTCCATTGTTAACCCCTTGCCCCCCTGTCTCTGTCCATTGATAACCCCTTATCCACTGTTTCTGTCCAGAGAAGAACATCCGAGGCAGATTTATTGCTCATGTGTGGAGAGGTAACTCTCTACCCTAACTCTCCGTCATGCTGTGGAGGACACAACTATGCAACAAAATACGGGGGAAATATAACAGTCTCCAACCCAGACAAGGTCCCCCACTCTGCCAATCTAACCCACAAATAATAATAATCCTTGTATTTGATAAAGCGCCTTAACACATTGTTGAAAAATGATTCAAAGGGTTTCACAGAATATACTGTAAAGTGAATTGACTATGTTTTGTGGGAAAAATGGGGTGTGAGCTCAGCTCCAGAGAGGGGAGGTGTCCAGTGAGGGCTTCACACAAAGGGTGAGAGGGTGTCAGCACTTTCAAAAGGAGATTGCAGAGGTTCTTCACAAAGAAAACCATATGGACAGAGGGTGTGGGAGACAGAGATAGAGGGGTGTAAGATCTTTTTTTAATTTGGGATCAGAGAAACAGATCATAATCTCCCATTCTGTTTCTGCGGAAGTTCATTTACTCACCATAAACGTGTAACTCCACCACTTGGTTGCTCACATTTCCTGTTGTTGATATCACAGTCAGGTCATACCTACCCCAGTCTCCCTTCCCCACACTCTGTATTTCCAGGGAATAATCGCTGGTGTTTAATGTGAATCTGTCTCTCGCACCAAAGTAACATGCCACTGGGTTATTTATCAGTTTATCACACGCTACAGTCTTTTCCCCAACTCGGTTTGTAAAATACCAGGTAACACTCTTAGGCTCTGCTTCCGGTACAATTCCCGGTAATTTCACCAACTCTCCCAGAATCCCGTTCACCAGGTGCCCATTCCCACCGGATTGTCCCAGAGCTGGAAAAGTAACAGAGAAACATATCATCATCACAGCGTTTACCTCAGATTCTGCAGCTCAACCTGTGAGATATCATCACAATCCCCCCCCCACCCCCAACCCTCCTCACTAAACCATCATCATCCCAACACTACAGTGTTCTTAGGTCTGGGGCAAAGGGATGACACTGAGGTGATGTGTGGGGAGCGGGGAGACATAAGTGTGTGAGGCTGGGAGACGTATCAGGACACTGTGCAGTACTGGTTTCTCGATTTCACACACAATATTGAGTTGTGAGAGGGAGAGCAGTGGAGGGGAAACTGGTTTAATTACTGACCTAAGGGAGAGGAACGATCAGCCTCCATTCTCTCAGGGACAGAGACTGAGAGGTTAGCTTGGTTTACAACACAGACGGTTCGAAAGTTTACTCACAAACATTTTTTCATCTGAAAAATTCAAAAGTTTGAAAAGAAGCCAAAAGGAATGAGAATGGGAAGTGTTCGAGCAAAGGCATCAGGCTGTGTGGACAGGACTGTGAAGTGGGTGGGGAGTAACTAACTTCCCAAAAAACAAACCGATCTCAGTCTGTGTTAGACAGAGACACAGAGGGAATCGTGCGCAGTCAGTCAGTCACTGATACTTTACACTGAGCAAGAGAGAGTGGGGAGGGGGATGCGACCCTAAGCCTCTGATCAGAGAGGTAGCAAGATTGAGACAGGATTTAAAGACAGAGCGCGAGGGGATTAGAGAGGGGGTGAGGGAAGGAGTTCCAGGGGTTACGGGCGGAGGAACTGAAAACCTGGCCATCGATGGGACATGGAGATGGTGGTGGAGGAGGGGGCCAGGCAGCAGGTTTGAGTTTGCTGAGCGGAAGGGGTGTAAGAGTAAATAGTAGGTGCCAGGGAGTGGGCGGAGAGTCAGACAACAGCCAACATGACCTCTGACCCTATCTGTCTCACTCTCGCTCTCTCTCTTTTTCTCTATGAGTGTCTCTCTCTCTCTGTTTGTGTCTCTCTCTTTGTCCTGTGCTCATTAATCTTGTGGTTGTTTTACAATGAAAGGAGTCTTTTGGGGCTGCTTGAATGTTGCTTAACCTGAGTCTCTCTCTCTGCCCCTATCTGTCTTCCTCTCTCTCTCTCTCTCTGGGATATGTTTTTTGCTCATTTCTATCAGGACTCTCAGGTCCGGGATATGGTCTTCATGGCGTTAATTATCTTTTGTGCATTTACATGAAATCCCCAGAGAGAGGCAAGGGGAGAGGGGTTGTGTGGAGACTGGTGAGGTGTGGTGATGGTGAGGAATGGCGTGAAGAGGGGGTGATGGTGAGGATGGGGTTATGGTGTGTGGAGTCTGGTACGGGAGGGAAGCATCTGTGAAGGTATGGATGACCTGGAGTTGGGGCGTGGTCCAGCCTGCAGGAGATCAGAGTGGGAGCTCCACTGGGTGGGGGGGAGGGGTGTCTCTCTGTCTGTGTCTATCTCTCAATGTGTGTGTTTACAGAACTATCTGCTCTAACAACAGCTGTTGGGGGTTTAACATCCGCTAGTTTATGGCCTCGGTAAATACAGGGCAGCTGCGGATTACAAACTCACTATCACTGTAAGCGTTAGCCTGCAGCACTGGGACGGAGCTTTGTGTGGGCTGGGCAGGTTTGCTTTGTGTGCAGTACAGCCCAAGGCAGACTTGAGACAGGCCTGTAGAGTGTGGAGCATACAGTTGCTCTGAATCCAGCCTTGTTTACAATGTAAAGAGGATGTTACAGGAACCAGTGGCAGTTTGTGCTTAAATTTGCAAACCAAATCATACGCTGACACAAGAGGTTTGAGATCATCAGTTAACCTCATCCTGTCTGATCCCAGCTCTACCTTCTTCCCATCGCAAATCTAGTCCCAGTGTCTCACCCTTGACCACCCTTCCTAGTAACCCAGTCCTCAGCTGTTGGCTCCCTCCCTCTGTGTAAACACATTCTGGTATAAATCCTGATATGTCGATGTTCATCCACAAAACACACAGTCACTTTACAGTGAAGGCAGATGTAATAGAATACAATACATATTTATATTTATACCATGTCTTTCCCATCAAGAGGTCATTCCAAAGCGCCGGAGAGTGTAAGCACAGCATCCTACCACTAATCCCCACTTACACCCCTCTATAATTCTCCTCTATTTCCCTCTCCCTCGTTTTCATTGCATCAAGTTTTCTCAAAGTACTGACACTTTGACCGCATTATGAGCTCCACGTCCTCACTCCCTCTGTGGGATCAACTTCCTCATAAACTTCTGTTTCCATGTGTTAGTGTCTGTCTGATTATTATTCATTTGTTATGGACTAACCGACAAGCAGAAACTTCTGTTTATCTCGACCTAATTCAATCCTCTTTAGCTCCTCTCTCAGGGCCCTGTAATGTTACATGTAATTGTTGACAATAATGCCACAGACCAGAGAAATGTACAGCTCAGGCCAGGACTCACCTGGCTCAGGAACTGGACCAGAGACCGTCACAGAGGTTGGGCTCAATTCCAACATACCATTCCCACTCCCACAGCAATTAAAGATTAATCTAAAAGTAAAATACTACAGATGCTGGAAATCTGAAATAGAAACAGAAGTCGCTGGGAACCTGCAGCAGGACAGGCAGCATCTATGGAGAGAAGGTCGATAGTCTCTGGTCGGACCTCTGTTGTCTGACCTGCTGTGTTCTGTTTTTAAAGATTAATCTGCTGGACACTACAGAGAGCGACCCGAGAGAACAGTGCCAGGGAATTTTCACATTGAATCAGGTTTATCCTGTGATCAGCTTCTTGTTTATTTCACACCCACACGGAGACTCTACAATCCAGCCTTGAAATGTCAAGGCAACACACCTTGCTCCCCTCTCTCTTTCGTCTTATTCCTGTATTGGTGCTGCGATTTACGTTATCTAACGACCATGAAGTCAGTGCTGTCCCACTTCACGATAGTGACCAAACCGTATCGACAGCTTCTGTAAGTGAGTCCCACATTCTCACCCCCTCTTTGTGTAATGAAATTCTTCTAAAACTCCCTAAACTGGCTCGCAAGCCATCGCAATGTGTTCGCCTGACAGTGAGTAAGGAAATGCTTCCAGTGCCTTCAGGACTTAACTTGCCCTTCACACACTTGTGTCTTTGTTCTCCCTAGCACCACCCTACATGTTAGGGTTTTGGCTGCAGGGTTAACAGGAGCTGAGTGGGGTATCTCCCTGCCCCTAGTGACCCTAGATGCTGGGCTGTCCTGTCATCAGTGGTGCTCTGGAATTCTGCTGGCTCAGGAACCGGACTAGAGACCGCCACAGTCAATCACGACATTCCATTGCCAAGCACGTTATTTTGGAGCAAATCCTGCTCCAAGGAGACCCTGCTTACCTCCCCCACTCCCCAGCCCCCTTTCCCTCCCCTCCTCCCTTCCCCTACCCCCAAGAGGATCTGAGCCGTCACTCGGTGGGTGGCAGGTTCGGGAACTCTTTGGTGAGGAGGACAACTCAGCATGTAATGTGCGAGAGCATTGCCACCATCTCCCTGCCTGCAGCTCAGACACACATCCCTTCCCACTGAGCTATGCTTTCACCAGGTGGTGTCTGGAATCCGGTGTGTGTTGAGCAGTGTTTGTGCTGCTCCCAATTTAGAGAGAGACAATAATGTGCAACGTGCAACGACCTCAGAAATACGTTGGGGAAACATCTGCTCTGACTGTGTGAGGAGAGGGGGCGTACTGATGCTCACCACAGCCCAGCCACAGTCAGCGCTGACACAGACAGCTTAGCATGTGCTAACGGCAGCTGCATTTCCATTAAGTGTAAGTCTCACTTGACAATGGTTGATTTTATAATAAATAATAATAATCCTTACTTTTGATACGGCATCGTATCACATCGTCGAGACGTCTCAAAGAGCTTCACAGAGATTTATCAAGTGTAGTGACTGCGTATTTTGTGGATGAACGCGGCAGACAGTTTGCGTACAGCAATGGCCCACAAACAGCTGTAAAGTGAATGACCAAATTTATCAGGAGATATTGTCGGCCAGGATGCCAGGAGAGAGAAACTCTCTTGCCTTTCCTTGTCTCACAATGTGGGATCATTGACATCCACATGAACAGGCGCAGACTGAACAGGATGTCAAAGACCCCACAGCGTGATAAAAAAAGGTTTAAGATCTCCTCCGAAGGATGGACATTGGCTTCTGCTCAGTCGCTCACACTCTCACCTCCAAGTCAGAAGGTTGTGAGTTCAAGCCCCTGTCTATCTGTGTAAACTGAGCCAGCCAGCTTCCCAGGTTAACGTTCACAGTCACCGATCTTTACCCTAAAGGGTGAGAAGGGGAGGGAGGGAGGGAGGGGGTGGGGGAGGAGTGAGAGAGGGAGGGGTGAGGGAGGGAGGGGTGTGGTAGGGACAGGGTGAGGGAGGGGGTTAGAAAGGAAGGGGGTGAGGGAGGGGAGAGGAAGAAGGGAGGGGTGAAGGAGGGAGGGAGGGGGTGGAGGATGCGGGAAGAGCAGGTAACAGAGGGGGTAAGGTGGGGTACACAAGAGAGTTGAGGGTGGGGGTGAGGGAAGTTGGCAGGGTTTGGGGAGCGGGCGTGGGGGCAGGGGATGGGGTGGACGTCCTGTACAGCTCCTCACAGCCTGTAACCTGGGCAAGGCCTGAATACGAGCTCTCACTGTGAGGCCTGAACCACAGCCTGCAGAGGTGGGGAGCTTCCACAACATGAACAGACATCCTGTTGTTAGTGCAGCAGTTAAACTGAGGGGAGGGTGACATCCGGCCTCTAATCGTCCTCCTCAGACATCCGTGTCAGTGTAGAGGAGCTTTACTGTGTCTCTAACCCTGATCTGGGAGTGTGGATGCAGTGTAGAGGAGCTTTACTGTGTCTCTAACCCTGACCTGGGAGTGTGGACGCACAGTGTAGAGGAGCTTTACTGTGTCTCTAACCCTGATCTGGGAGTGTGGACGCACAGTGTAGAGGGAGCTTTATTGTATCTTTAACCCTGACCTGGGAGTGCG